AAGAAAAGCCCCGAAGCCCAGGAGAACCCCCGATCGCGGGGCTCAGCAGGGACAAGCGGCCACAGAGGGGCTCAGCAGCGCAGGGCAAGGGGCTGTGCTGCCCAGCAGCGCTGCGACCCGGCTGCGCCTCCCTGCGAGGGGACCCAGCCCTGGCTGCCTCTGTGGGCAGGGGCAGCAGGAGCTGCGTGCTGGCCTGGGACAGCGTGGCGCTGCCCTCCTCTGCGTCCCTTTGGTGGCAGTGCCCATGCACACAGCACCCAGCACGGCCTGCTGCTAAACACAGGGATTTCAGAGCCGCACACCCCTCCTGTGTGCCCTGCACCAGCCGGCCCAGCCCTCCTCTGCGTCCCTTTGGTGGCAGTGCCCATGCACACAGCACCCAGCACGGCCTGCTGCTAAACACAGGGATTTCAGAGCCGCACACCCCTCCTGTGTGCCCTGCACCAGCCGGCCTGAGAGGCTGCTGCAGCCCACGCTGCTGCAGGCAGGGACAGGGCGCTGGGGCCGCCCCTGCAGCGGGGACACGGGCACAGCCAGGGCCACCACACAGCCACAGGGCACAAACCCCTGCTCGGGGCTCGGTCACACCGCAGCTGGCACGGACACCACACCACAGAGCCCTGCTGCCCGTAGGAAACGCAGCACACACCTCTGCGGATCAATGGTACGCCATCTAGAAATTAACCACAAAAGCATTTTGATTGTGGAAGACATTTCCACCTGGAAATCTTTTTACTTCTGAAAGCAACTTTGTTTGAGATTGAACCCAGTGATTCCACAATAAGCAAAGGGAAGTGTGACTCTATACAGAGCACTTATCTGGCCTAGAAACATGAAAAATTTATGGTAGTCATTTTTGGTATGACTACCAAACGGTAGGAAAAAAATATGGTAAGAAAAAAAAAAGTTGTTGCTACAAATCACAAAACTCCAGAACAAAAACATACTGTAGGATGCAAAGGCCACATTCAAAGGCAGCTGTCAAGGAAAAGAAGCAAAGCACAACTCATTGTATTTTGTTGTAAGCTTACACCTTTTCACCATTTACAAACAAACTGAGGGATCTGAATAACACAACACAGAGAAAAGAAATATAGATGTGGTCAGATATTTCTGCAGTGCCCCACAGTTAAGATAAATTTAAGGTCAATGTCTAGAGGAAGCCATTTCAAACACTGATAGTTCACAAAGGGCATTTCCTTTCTGATAGGGATAAAAATTAAGTCAAATGTATTGCAGACTGCCATTTCCATTCAGACTCTGTAAGCTGCAGTTACTGCCACTAAACAGAAGACTCCTTCCTATATTATTTCCTAGGGAAGAGGCAAAAATTAAATGCTTTCAAATTAATTTTCTTTTCCGTTTTAGGCATATTGTTATGTTTTCATTCACTACATGTTCAAACACGCTTCTTTTTTTCTCCCTTTCATTTTACAAGTGCTCTTTGGAGTCAGAAGCAGCCACACAGCACACACAGCACAAACTTGCCAAGTCCAGAGTGCAATCATACTCACACCCAGCCTCTGAGAAAGGGGCCAGGCGAGCAAAGGACATAACAGAGAGAAGATAAATTGCTTTTTGTACCCCTTAGTGGCTGGACATCAATGCTGCAGCTCTGAAAGCTCTCTTTCCCAAAAAAAAAAAAAAAAAAAAAAAAAAAAGAGAGAGAGAGAGATTAGGATTGCAGCCACTCATGGAAGAAGAAATATGTAAAAAGGAAGGTTTTAATGAAGAAATGGATGAAAGACTTCCAACTACAGGAGATTAACGTTCTTATCATATAAACTCTTACTGCAAAGCACAGAGAGGGGTGGGAGGGGAGAACACTCCTCTAAAGACATGGAAACTCTGACACTGGAAATGAATTTCTGCAATAGTGCCCGGCACAGTTTGCAATGGCTCCTTTTGCACCTTTATTAGGGACTCCTAGACTTTAAATTAAAAAAAAAGACTGCAGATTATAGCACAGACCTAGATTTGCTGGTTTAGCCATTTTTGAAACACCCTGGAAGAAGGCAGGGCCCTGTAAGCACAGCAGCCAGCAGCATCATCAGGCAGTTTTCTGACAGTCACACCAGGAAAACCACCCCTGACAGGTGGGGACACACAGGTACCTGGTCCTGCCTTTTGGAATTTTACAGAAATGCAGGCAAAAATACGCTGTGGCTTAGTGGGGTATTAGACAAGCAAAACCAAACCCGAGAGGCACCAGAAACCATGGGGAAGGAAGCAGGGCAGAGGGGAGGGAAGCCTCCCATCTGCGCATGGAACACTCGTGGGCCAGCCACAAACCCCAAGGATGACAGGTGAGGAGCAGCAGGTAACTCTGACCTGCCACCAGCACCCAGGGCTCGTGCCCCACAGCCAAACAACATCTCTGCCCTTCCCACTGGTGCTGGAGCTGCAGAGGGGAAAGGCTCTCTGAGCACCAGAGGCACAGGACAGCGGCGTTCGTTCAAAGGGAATATTACAGTAAGAAGGCTGTTGGACACGAGCAGGCTGGGCGGGTGAGGCGTGGGGCAGTGAGCAGAACAAGGAGACGTGCTCCATTCCTTGCCTTCAGGAGCTGCTCTGACGCAGGGGAAGCTCAGCAGCCCTGCTCAGGCACTCAGACGTGAGGACAGACTCCCCAAATGGGTGACACAGCTGGCTGCTCTCCCTGCCACAGGACTGCTCACACTGCAGCTCCCTTTTCCACGGAAGCCAACGGGGCACTGAGCACCACAGCACTGTCACGGGAGGCCAGGCCAGTGTGCACTCACAGGCAGCTCCAGGGGAGAAGGCAAAGGCAAAGGCAAGGCCTCCTGAACTCTTACAAACTAGGACCATCCCTACGGATACCGCGTAGGGCCCTGAAGCTGTAATTTATATACAGCGCTGTCACCAAAACACCTCCCTCATTCCCCAGAAACCCTGAAAACAGAACTGCGCGTGTCCCAAAATATTTCAAATTAATGAGCAGAGAATATCTCTGAGAGGGTAATTTGCCAATACACATATTTTTAAAATACATTTCTTTAAACCAAAAATTTTTATATTCATGTTTCAGCAGAGTCATTTATAGAATCACAAAATCTCAGAATGCTTTTGGTTCCAAGAGGCCTTAAAGATCACCTTGTTCCAAACCCCTGCCATGGGCAAGGATACCTTCCCTTAGACAAGTTACATATTATTGTCCATAGGATGAGAGACACAAGCTCAGTAAACAAATCACAGTTATTGTACACTAGGAACATTTAGGGCTTCTCTTCCCTACAACTATTTTGATGCTGCTTTGGTTTTTCATTGCACACACATACCTACAACACAATTTATCCTAAGCCTATGTCCTTGCATGGGGATCACAGTGTGTGTTAGAAAAGGAGCAGCTAAACCAAACTTTTGTGCACCAGAGCCACTTGAATTCCATCCACCAGAATCCGGAGGAGTTTGGAGAAGGTTCTGGCCCACTGTTGAGAACAGAACCAGAGCAGGAGTAGAGCAGGTGTGTTTATGACCTCATATGACTGCCTTTGACTGCCCACTAAAACTGTTCATGTTCTCTGCACTCTACAAAACAATTGTAGTTCTGACCAGTGTGACCCATTCACACAGTGCAGGGAAATTCTAGCCCTGCTGTCTGCTCTGTATGTGGCTTGCTTATTGCCAACATTCACTATGAACCAGAAACATTACAATGTTTGTCACAAAAAAACGGGCATAACTTAGCAAAAACTGCTCCCTGGTACCAAACATCCGTTTGATTTTTAACAGCCCCCTCAGCCAGCACTGGCACACCTGAAAGGCAATTCTTAGAAACTTTAAAAAGATTTGTAAGGAGGAAAAAACAACATGAATTCCAAACATGGTGTGCTTATTAGGGCCTCTGATGCAGTGACAGAGTGCTTTACATAGAAGTCTGTGCAGCCACAAACTGTGCTAAGCTAGGCAAAAACACACACAACTCCAGCAGAAGGGTATCAAACATTTATGGCCCTGAAATATGTGCTTCATCAAAGAAGGCAAAGCCCATTCCTCACCTCTTTCCTCCCAAACAGTGCAGCAGCAGAACAGCAGCACTGTTTACAGACACTCCGACAAAAATCCCCCCTGAAGTCAGCCTGCAGATCAGGGTCACAGAATGCTCCATGCCATGCAAAACCTCACTCACATGTGCACCAAATAAAGTCTGGCATACATAGTTTTTTAACTTCTTTCAGAGTACGGTCTATTTCACTTCATTTATAAACTTCCCTTCTTTATTTCTTTCTGCAGCCTTTGTCTGGGTGACGGCTTCCCTCAGCCTGGCAGGGGGATGCTGTTCCCAGCAAGAGGAAATGGTGGCTGACCATCCAGCAGAGGCTGCAGCTGCTGGTGACACAGGGCACGCTACACACCATGGTCATTACAGACACCTGCTCAAACTCCGTGGCACTGACCACCACCTTCATGGCCTTCTTTGCTGTAATGGGGAGGAACGTTTATCAAAACACCACAATGTCAGACTCCAGTAGCTGGGGAGAAACCTCCCTGGGTTCAGGGCAGAATCCACATAAGAAGAGTCAGACAGCTTCAGATGAACAGCCCAAACTGTGAAGAGTGCTGAGGGGGCAGTCACCTGCTGAATTCAGGCAGGGGAAATGCTCAGGTCTCCCCTCTGCCCCTTGCCTCCCTCCTGTTACGGCTCATCCCTGTCCTGAGCTGAAAGGCCTCTGGTCTGGCACACAGCAACTTCTTATACACTCTCAGAAACACAAAATACATGGCAAGGTTGAAAAGCTCACAGTATAAACCACTCTGATATTACTTCTAAATTTCTACCAGGAAAAATGCTGTTTTTCCTTCTGCCATGCTGCTGAATTAAAGGTATTGAAACGGAACAAATGACAACCATTTCATTTACCACAGCTTTGCCATGAATTCATTTGCCTTCCGTTCATCTTTCAATACTGGCATCAGCGTCACTGCAGACAAACTGCTGTCCCCACACAAGAACCAACAAGCCAATGAAAAGCACTGACCTTTCCTGGCAGGCGTGGCACAGCCCTCGAGGTTCAGCATGATGTCTCCATCCGTGTCATCGGCACCAGCTCCCAGCAGCATCCAGCTCTCGATGTCCTCGCCGTCAGAGATGAGGCTCTCCTCCTCCTCCTCCGAGCTGTTGTCTATCACCAGCACGTCCTGGGGCCCTTTGGGTCTGGCAGGAAGGACTGGGGCAGGCCTCCCACTAGGGCTGCTCGTCTTCCTTGGTGTGCCCACACCGGGCTCAGGGGGGCACCGGGCACTGCACCCAGCAGCTTTGGCATGATTTGGCGTGGAGGATGCCGGGTGGGTGTGAGCTTTACCTGGAGCTGAAGAGGAGCACCTTGACCTCTTTGCCTTGCTTTTGTAGATGCTGTCTTCCTCTGGGGTGTCAGACAGGACAATGACATCGGGCTCATCTGAAAGCCGAGTGCCACCATCAGTGAGCTCAGTGAGATTCTCATCTTCATCCTGTTTCCCAGCCAGCCTGGAACTTTGACCCACGACTTCTCCAGCGTCAGCTTCCTCATCCATTTCCAGTGTTCTGACTTCTCCAAGATCCTGGGAATAGTGGATCTGGCTATAGAGATGAAACTCCACCTCACTATCAACACTCTGCTCACTGGATGACTCCTCGAGATAAAGTTCATCTTCATACACTTCAGTATTCTCAGGATCATCATGTCCAGTAAATATTCTGGAAAGTGAAGAGTCTAAGTCTACAAAAAAATCAAATGGTTAAATCAGAATGGTCATGTGTCCAAAATAAACCTTCAAGCGATACCTTTGGTCTTCTTGAAATTGCTCAGGTGAGTTGTGGAGCTCTGCACACAGACCATCAAACTGAGCAGATTTAACAGCCACCTGTGCTCCAACGCAGAACAGCAAACACTAATTAAGGATGCATTTGCATTAACCATAACTATTACTTCAGCCCAACTGCTTTGGCCTCTAAAGGGCAATTACCGAGTTCTCTGCCACACCAGGGAGGCCATCAGACCACACACACACTTTGCTGAGAACCCCTCGGGCTCTCCAGACTGGAGTGGACGCAACAAGGAGCCACTAAAACCATCAAGGGATTGGAACATGTGTCCTAGAAGGTCAAGCTGGGACTGCTACTGCACAGGGAGGGGAAGCTCAGAAGGATTTATTCACACTCATAAACACCTGGGGTAGCGGGAATAAACAAGACAGAACCGCCACAGAGCTGCCCAGCAAGAACTTGACAGGGAATGGCCACAAAATAACAAAATACAGGGATTTCCACTTAACCGTAACTCTGTTGCCCAGAAAGGCTCTGGAGCCTCCATTCTCGAGGACCTCAGCTAGGCACAGCCCTGAGCAAGCAGCCCCAGGTCTCTCTGCTTTAAATCAGGGCTGAAACTGCCAGAGGCTCCTTCCCAGCTCAGCTGTCCTGCGAGGCCAGCCCAAGGGCGAGTGTGCTCACAGCTCACAGCCTGCTCCCTTGCAAGCCTGGTAGTACAGGGATGTGGTAAAGTCACCCTGCCTCCCTGGCACTGCCTCACTCTGAGTTCATGGCCACACCAAACATGGGGTACAGGACACGGGACACTTCCTCTGAAAGCCTGTCAGGATTTCTGCATTCGTTACTCCCATGGAATTCATATAGCTTCTTCTAGACATAAAAACTGCCAGATGAAATTCAGCTTCTTGGCTGGTGAAGAAGAGTTGCATGGCACTGTTTAAATCCACTCAGTGGCACACACATACAAAAACTCAGATTTGTGAGCTTTGCACAGATGTAACTTGTGTGATGATGGTATTTAAAGCACCTAAAGGTTCCCATTAAGAAGGCTCTCTGCTCATACCCGGGTTCCTAAGTAAACACAACACCTAATATGCTAAATATATGAAAGAACAAGGTGGCAAGTAGAGACAACAAACCTACTTTACACCACTACCTAGCTTTAGAAGCTGTAGAAAGGAAGAAAAAGTACAGTAGCTCCTGAAAGGCTGTAGTCAGAAAAATATTTAACAGACCAAACGCAGGCCCCAAACTTCAACATTTTTGTCAACTTCACAAGGGGTCCCTGTTTCAAACAGGTTGGAGCACACAGGTTGGAACTCCTACCCACACAGCGAGACCAGAGCTCCAATCAAGCACATTCCCAATATTAACACGTGCTTATGAGGTGTGAGAAGAGGCCTTCAGCAATGTAGCACAGTCACAAATCCTCCTGAAGAGGCTGTGTTTTAGTGAGCTCCAAAACAGAACCCAAGTACTCCTTCCTCCCCTTCTGTCCCCAGTGGATAGTGACACGCAGTGAGCAGTGACCACTGCTAAAAACTTGCAGCTGAACAGCCCTGGTGCCTCTCAGGCATCCAGGAGCTGACTCATGGGCACTTCACAGCACAAACAGGCAGCCAGCACTGCACTCACTCTGATCCATCCTGCTCAGCAGGTCAAAGCACAGCTCCTCCTGCTCCCAGCTCCACACGTGACTGCGGTGATGAAGGGCTCTTCCTCTTCCTCTTGCTCAGCACGTACACCTGGGAAACAAGCAACACCCAACATCAGCACCACCACAACCCTGAGCCCCTGCTGCCCACCGTGCTCATGCTCAGGCCACAGCCGTGCCCTTCCTCGTCAGGAAAGACAAACAGCCGCGCCAGGCATCCCACAGCAAAGCAGACACACACAGCTTGAAGGACAGGGAAGAGAAGCTTAACAAAGTCCTGCTGTTTTCCAGACTGGCAAGCTAAAGCAGTCTCTCACTGAGTTCATACAGGTAACTCAGAGAAGGACCTGACTGCAACTCCACATTTCCTTTTGCCAGTGAAAAGTTTAGACTATGAGCAAACATTCCTTTGCACAGAACCATAGCAGGGTTTTGGCTGGAAGGGACCCCCAGGGTCCCTGTTTCTCAGCTGTGCTCACCTCCAAGTGCCACACCTATCTTCACAGAATCACAGAATGATGAGGTTGGAAGAGATCTCTGAGATCATCCAGTCCAACCTGTGCCCTAACACCTCAACTAGCCTATAGCACCAAGTGCCATGTCCAGGCTTTTTTAAACACACACAGAGATGGTGATTCCACCGCACACCTGGGAAGAGCATTCCAGTACTTCATCATTCTTTCAGTGAAAAATCTTTTCCTAATACCCAACCTGTACCTTCCCTGCCATAGCTTGAGACTGTGCCCTCTGATTCTGTCAGTGCTGCCAGGTGGAAGAGACCGACTCCACCCATCTACAGCCTCCCTTCAGGAAGGTGTAGAGAGCAATAAGGTCACCTCTGAGCCTCCTCTTCTCCACCCAGCTCCTTCAAACACTTCTCACAGGGCTTGTGTTCCAAGCATCTTGGCTACAGCTGGACTATCATAACGACACTCCTCACACCCGAGTGTGCAGAACACATTAAACACATTGATCCTGCACAGACTGCCTGATTTGATAGGCTGCAGGGAGCAACAGCACACTGACACATCCTACTTTGGAACTAGATTACTTTAATTAAAAAAAAACCCAACTTCAAACCCCTGGCAAGAGGAGAACCCCATCCCTCTACCAAGAGGAGCTGCCCTCCTACCTGAATCCAGGGCACAACCTTCCTCAAACACACCCGATTGCCTCTCAGGCAGTAAGGACTGCCTTCAAGTTCAACTAAAGGGCTACCAATGTTAAAACTAAAAAATCACAGACATCTGAGCTCCTCCTAACCGTTAACAAAACTGCAAATGGCTGCAGTTGGCAATGACAGGAATAATTTTCACACACTGCTTGCCAGCATTTTCCATCTGAGCCGCTAGAATCCTGACATCCCACTTGTGGTGCAGCAGCAGCACCAGGCAGCCAAAGGGAGGTGCCACTGGCAACTCGAGGCAGGGAGGAAGAGCAAGGCCAACACACAAGAAATAACAAACAAGCTAATTAGAACACTCGTCCAAAACCCCAAAGCGGGTTTGGGGTGCTCAGGGCTCACCCCTCTGCAGAAGGGATTCCGGAGGAAGAGGCTCAGGGCAGTCCTCCTCGTGCCATTCCTGCTCACCTGCCCCGACTCTCCCTGCAATGCCGCCCAGCACTCCTGCTGCTCCTGCTTTCCCAGCTTCCAACAGCTCCCAGAGCTCCTCGTGCCCACCTTCAAACACTGACATTTCCTAAAAACTTCTAAATGCAAGCCCAAACACAGAGACTACTTCTTCCACTGCACGTGGCTTTTCAGAGAAGTGCCCTGCTCCCACCACACCCCATCAGCAAGCTCCAAACATTTCCTCATTTATCATTCCCTGCTTGAGTTCCACTGTCAAATCTAACCCTTTCTGATAGCTGAGAACAGAGAAGCAAACATGCTCTCTGCAGCCTTGGAAGGCAAAACACACCCCTGCTGTCAGGCTGTTACAGACTGCGACAACAAAATGGGAGAGAAAAAACGGGAAAGGGAAAAAAAAAGGATTTCCTTCCAAGGAAATCACCATGCTGCCTTATCTAAGCACAGGGTCAGACACCAGGAGAGTAGGAGCCAGCTTTAATTTAGTTTAATTTACTATTTGTGGTACATAGACTGCCTGATGCTTCAGACTGCTCAGACACTGCAGGGGCCCAGGCAGTGTGAAACTGACAAGGAATTTAAACCTTCCAGAGCATGTGAATGAAACACTGCAGCTGCTGTGGCTGCTTGTGCACCCTGCATTGCCTGGATTCCATGAGCAAATCATCACCATGGAGCTCATGACTCCAATGGAAATCACACCTGGGAAGGTATGAAAATGTCAAACCTAAATGTATTTATGAAAACCTGCCCCAAGATATATTTATTCACAGAGGCCAGTGTCAGGAGACTGTTTTCCTTCCCCTGCTCTGTTTCTGTGCCTGATGTGATTCTAACCTGGCTGTGCCTCACCACGTGGCTCTCAGAGCAGGTGAGAAAGGCACAGCCCTCACCTGCTGCCCAGGTGAGGCTGCAGCTGCAGAAGCCCCTGCAGAGGAACATGGAAAAGGGTCAGGAGGTGGGCTGGGCGCTGCCTCTGCCCCCATTTTCTGTGATCTAACAGAGATTTTTGGCTAAATACTGAGATGCAAACCCCATGTTTGTCCCATTTGCTGTTTGAGGAGACACAGCTGCTCTGGACTTTCTTTAAATGAGGTGCAAAGAGAGAAGCAAAGCTCTGGAGAAGACAGCATTTTCTAGTGTCAGCTATACCTTCAAGAGATCACGGGAACATGTCTTCCACTCCCGAACCCTGGAAAACAACAAAACATTTCACGTTCACTTCAGGCCTTTCTAAAGATTATTTTTTTCCCCACAGGCACTTTGAGGACCACGTTAAAGAGTAACACGCTTTTGCTGGCGTTCTAGGTTCCACGTGTCTGGTGAGCGGGAACAGATGGGGACTGGGGACTCGGGCAAGGCGAGGAACACCCCAAGGGAAAGGGAGGAACGCACACCCCAGCACCGGCGGCGCAGCGTGTCGGGCACAGCAGAGCCTCCTCCGGTACTCCAGGGCCGCCGGCACCGGGACATGCCGCAGCCCGAGGCTGGGCCAGGGGCACGGACACCGGGGCCGGACGCGGGATGATCCCGGCTGCGCTGCAGCCGCCACGGGCCGGGGGAACGGGGCCGGGGGGAAACCGGGCCGGGGGGAACGGGGCCGGGGGGGAAACCGGGCCGGGGGGGAACGGGGCCGGGGCCTCGGGGAGTGGGGCCCGCCGTGCAGGGAGGGGTCGCGGTCGGGCTGGGAAGTGTCGGAGCCGGGCAGGGCCGGTAGTCACGGACGATACTCACTCACTGCCGATACCAGAGCCCAGTCGCTATCAGCACTCAGTACCGGGACGGACGGACGGACGGACTGACTGAATGACCGACTGACCGGCTGGCCCACCCGCTCCCCCCCCGGAGGTGGCAGCACTCACCGCCGGCGCTCCCCGGTGCCGCAGTTCCGCGCCGGCCGCGTTGGGACGCGCCGAGCAGGAAGTGGCGGCGGCCTGGCCCCGCCGTCCGGCCACGTGCTTCCGGCCCCGCCCTGCCCGAGGCCCCGCCCCACCCGAGGCCCCGCCCCGCGCCCCACCGCCCCGGCCCCGCCCCCAGGGGCCCGGCGGGAACGCGGCTTTGGGGAGAATTTAGCGAAAATCGGGTGCGCGGGGATGGGGCTTTCCAGAGCCCCGCGCCCTGCCCGCCGGCACAGTCCTGTGAGAGGACCGCGTCTCCGTGTGCAGAGCGGACAGAGCCCGCACCGGCACCGCGGGAAGCGTGACCCGAGAAGAGACTGGCTGGGAAAGGGCCTTAAAGTTCATCCAGGCCCTCGCCGTGAGGGGGGACCGGGACAGCGACAGCGACAGGAACAGGGACAGCGCTGGGACAGCGACACGGACAGGGATAGGGACAGCTGCCACTAGAGCAGCGTGCTCCAAGCCCAGTGTCCAGCCTGCCTCGGACATTTCCAGGGGTGCAGGGGCAGCCCAGCTGCTCTGGGCACCCTGTGCCGGGGCCTGCCCATCCTCTCAGGGAGGGATTCCTTCCCGGTGTCCTCTCTAACCCTGCCCCTGTCAGTGAGAATCCCTCGTGTTCTGTCCCTCCCACCCCTGTCCCAAGTCCCTGTCCAGCTCTCCTGGAGCCCCTGAGGACGTTGGAAGAGCCCTAGAGTCTCCCCAGAGCGATCTTTTCTGCAGGGGACATCCCCAGCTCGCAGTCCCTCTCCAGAGCAGAGCTGCTGCAGCCCTGAGAGCGACACAGGGCATGTGCCTGAGTGTGCAGGTACGTACACACGGCTTACACACACCCTGAATGCTGCCGTCCGTGCTGCACCGGGCTGCCAGCCCGCCCGCTGTCTGCAGCAGTGCAGGTGCGCCGGGTGAGACACCTGGGTGCAGGTGTGCTGGTGGCACCAGCAGGGCCAGCCTCACTGTCTCCGCAGGGACCTCACGGGGCCCCAGTGTCCCCACAGGCCCTCGCTGGTGCTGCTGTTTGTCAGGGAGCCTGCCTGCGTGAGGGGCTGCCGCTGCACACGCACACACACACACAGACACATACACACACCACACACACACACAGACACAGACACACGCACACACACACAGACACACACAAACACACGCACACACACGCACACACACACACACACAGACACACACACACATGCACGCACACATACACACACCACACACACACAGACACACACACCGCGCGCACACACACACAGACACACACACACCACACACACGCACACACACAGACACACACACCGCACACACACACCGCACACACACACACACGCACACACACCACACACACACAGACACATACACACACACATATACACACACACAGACACACACACCACACACACACACCGCACACACACACCACACACACACAGGCGCGCGCACACACCACACACACACACACATGTACACACACACGCACACACAGACACACACACGCGCACACAGACACACACACGCGCGGGCACACACACACACACAGACACACACACGCACACACACACGCACACCCATGCACACGCGCACACACGCGCACACGCACACAGATCCTCTGAGCGGGGAGCAGCTCCCTGGCCAGCTCTGGGACTGGCGCACGCAGGGCAGAGAGAAGCCCTCGCGCGTGTCAGCAGACACCCTGTGTGCCGCTGCCCAAGGGAGCCGTGCAGGGCTGTGTGTGCTGCGCGTCTGCCTCTGGGAGCACCGCAGCGGGGCTCATCTGCAGCTCGGGGCAGGCAGAGCCTCCCGGGGCAGGGCAGGCACGGGGGCTGAGGGAGAAATGCAACGAGTTGGGGGAGATTCCAGCTGTGTCTGCTGCATTAGGGACAGTGCTGTGCTGTTACACAGAGCTGCCCCTCCATGCTGCCCGCTGCACTGGGGCAGCAGGGCTGGCTGGCTGGCTGGCTGTCTGTGCAGACAGACACGCATACGCTGCCACATCCACTGAGCCCAGAGCTTTCATTTTCTGTCTCATTTTCTGTCGGGCTTTCAGACTTTGGGGGTTTCCTTAATGCAGTGCTAGAACTCTATTTTCAGCATTGCTGGTGTGTAATTATGACCTATGATTTACCTCTGTGAACACTAGCACGGGCAGGTATGTGTGGGATGCAAAACTGCCTCCTGAAAGGCACAATAATTGTTTCTCTGATCCTCCAGGCTCTAGGACTGAGAAGGAGTGAACAAATCCCACCCACAAGTAGAAAGGTTTTATCTTCTGGCAGAGAGCAAGTGGAACCTGACATAGCCACAACACCTGGCACTGGCCTCAGGTACTCTGCTCTGATCTTATTGTGGCACCTTTCAAAACAAAAATGCTTTTAATGCTTCTGGATGTTATGAAACCTACTCAAATATATCAGGTAATTAATTGTTGTAAAATATGCGCTGTTAAGATGATTAAAAGATGAGCTGGGACTGCAGAATGTTACGCAACTGTCAGGACCCTGAGGTTAACCCCCGGAACCTGGGCGGGCTGTGACCTGTTTCCCAAACTCCTGACCCTCACCTCTCTCTGCAGGCTGCCGTCCTGCCATGGCCCTGGTTTGTCCCCATCCCCAGGCAGGTGCCTGATGCTGAGGCTGGGACTGTCCTCTCCTGGCTGGGGGGGGTGGCCTGGGCAGTGGCCACCAGGCCCTGCCCCACCAGCCCCCGCTGCACAGCCACTGAAATGGAGTGAAGCACACCTTTGGAGGAAGGTATAACCGTGAAATGGTGTAAAACACGCCTTTGGAGGAAGGTGTAACCGTGAAATGGTGTAAAACCACGAAATGGTGTAAAACACACCTTTGGAGAAAGGTACAATGGTGAAATGATGTAAAACACACCTTTGGAGGAAGGCGTAACCGTGAAATGGTGTAAAACCATGAAATTGTGTGAAACACACCTTTGGAGAAACATACCTGCAATTCAGATATGTTTCCCCAGAGCATATTTATAGTAACTACAGGACAACAATTAGAGCATTTGCGTTTTGCACTGACTACAGTGGTATTTTTTGCTCGCAAAGACCTATTCTTGCTGGATTTGCCCCTGAAAGGAAGTTCTTTTGGGTGGCATCATAGCAACTGCCTCTGAGCCACCCATTGCCAGTCACCTGTCCTAAGGGACTGTGTCCCACATTGCCCTAGGGCCACCACAGCTCGAGGGACATCGGTCCCCCTGGGTGGCAGTGCCACAGCTCCAGTCCAGCCTTGCTGCAGGGCGCTTGGCTGCTGCAGAGGAGCAGACAGAGGTGCCTGCATTCAATCCAGCGGGACTCAGGTGTGATGCTCAGGGCCTGGCACTTTCACCCTTGCACCCCTTTGTCTGTCAAGGCAGCTGGGTCGGGCTGCTGCCTTTGCTTCCGAGCACTATTTCATGGTAGGAGTGACAAACTTCACCTGCCACACACCAAAGTGTCCCGCTGCTCCCCTGAGCACGCTGCCTTTGGTGAGCCAGAGACTCATCCATGGGGGGAGAGGAGCTTGGCACAGAGCCTGAGGCCGGGGTGCCCATGCGTGGCCGGGAGACCAAGAGCTGTCGCTGCCTGGCACCCCGTTGGAAGTGCTGAGCCCGGAGAACGTGCCCTCTTCCGCACAGCTCCCAGCTTTCCGAGCTGTCCAGGGTGGCAGGAGGCATCTCCCGGGCCGCAAGGCTGCAGGACGGCTTCGCAACAGCTTTCTCTGCCTGCCAGCCTCTGCTGTGAGCCGGAGGGCTCGTCCGGGCTGCGCGGCACCCGGCTCGGGGCAGCGGGGTCCCGGGGAGGGCCGGGGGTGGTGTGACCGCTGGGTGTGCCTGGAGCCGCCAGGAGCCCTGCCAGCGCAGGGAAAGGAGCGTCCGTGCTCACGGGACCCTTGCCGTGCCCTGCCGTGAGCAGCGCGCCGTGGCCGCGCCAATTGGCCCCGCAGGCAGGAGCGGGCCCGCCGCCGTGCAGCACCGTGCCTGCTGCAGGGACAGGCGGCTTTGCAGCACCCTCAGTGCCTGGCGACAGAGCTGAGTCTCCTGCAGCCTTCCAGGTTGCAGGAGGCGGGTGGAGAGCGTCGTTCTTCCAGCCGAAAACTGTACGTGCTCAAAAAAGGAAAAGGAAGGAAGAGGGGCATTTCCCCGGGGTGTACCCTGTCAGGTCGCGGTCCAGGTGCCGGCAGGTGGCACCCCAGAATGCGCGGCTTTTCTGGAGCCTGATGCTGCTCCCCGCAGCGTCTTCAGCCTCGGCTCGGCTCCCAGCATCGGGGGATCCTCGGTGGCTCTGAGCTGGGGCCAACAGCCGTCAGAAACGACCCCGAAATTGTATTTTCGATTCGATTCTTTCCAAAGTGTTTTTCTAAATGCTGAGGAAGACAGCATGAAAGTTCTGAGGGTAACAGCACAAAAAGCACCCAGAATAGGCCTCGGAGGTTTTAAACATCAATAAAGTGTCTGTGTCAGGATGCTGGCTCCTGCTCCTCTAACTTTGCTGGACACCAACCCTATGAGATGAAAAGGCATATGAGAGATACAGCTTCACCTGGCATTCCTAGGGGAGTTCACAACTGGAAGGTGATGCCCTGTCCAAGGGGGTTGCTGAGGAAAGTGTCAGGGCACTTGGCCATGGTGGAAATATTGGGTGATGTTTCTTCCACTCTGGAACAACATGAAGACGTGATTGAAAATTGTAGGCAACCAAGGAGTTAATTAAATCTATTGGGGCAACCATCTTCTTTTTAGGAGCCCAATTTTATGGTCTTGTCAAACTCACTTTTTACCTAGACTTGTTGAATTGAGTGGGCTGTACTTGCTTCTGGCCACCTCTGCCCAGGGGAGTTGTCTTTGACTTGCATAGACTATTTCCTGACAGTCACATTGTTTTCATCTGGAAGCTGC